GCGTGTGACGTCAGCGTGCGTGTATGGTATGTGCGACGTACACGTGTGTGCGGTACACGTGTGTGCAATGCACGTGTGTGCAATGTGCGTGTGTGCAATGCACGTGTGTGCTGTACACATGCGTGCAATGTACGTGTGTGATGTACACGTGTGTGCAATGTATGTGTGTGTGCTGTACACGTGTGTGCAATATATGTGCGTGCAATGTACGTGTGTGATGTACACGTGTGTGCAATGCACGTGTGTGCAATGTACGTGTGTGCAGTGGCCGTGTGTGCAATGTCCGTGTGTGCTGTACACGTGTGTGCAATGCACGTGTGTGCAATGTCCGTGTGTGCAATGCACGTGTGTGCAATGTGCGTGTGTGCAATGCACGTGTGTGCAATGTACGTGTGTGCTGTACACGTGTGTGCAATGTACGAGTGTGATGTACACGTGTGTGCCATGTACGTGTGTGCAATGTACGTGTGTGATGTGCACGTGTGTGCAATACCCGTGTGTGATGTACATGCGTGTGCAATGTACGTGTGTGATGAACACGTGTGTGCAATATACCTGTGTGATGTACACGTGTGTTCAATGTATGCGTGTGCAATGTACGTGTGTGCTGTACACGTGTGTAAAATGTACGTGTGTGCAATGTACGTGTGTGCAGTACACATGTGTGCAATATATGTGTGTGATGTACACATGTGTGCAATTTACGCGTGTGCAGTGTACGTGTGTGAGGTACACGTGTGTGCAATATACCTGTGTGATGTACACGTGTGTTCAATGTATGCGTGTGCAATGTACGTGTGTGCTGTACACATGTGTGCAATATATGTGTGTGATGTACCCATGTGTGCAATATATGTGTGTGATGTACACATGTGTGCAATGTACGCGTGTGCAGTGTACGTGTGTGAGGTACACGTGTGTGCAGTGTACGTGTGTGTGCTGTACACGTGTATGCAATGTACGTGTGTGATGGACACGTGTGTGCAATGTATACGTGTGTGCTGTACACACGTGTGCAATGTATGTGTGCGATGTACATGCGTTTTTATGTTATGTACATGCGTGTGTGTAAAATGTACACGTGTGAATGTGTGTGAAATGTACAGGTGTGTGCACAGTGTAGGTGTGTGTGAACGCACGTGTGTGCACATGAGCATGTGTGTGAATGAATGTGTTGTGTGTATGTGTGTGATTGTGTGTGTGCACATATGTGTTCATGTGTGTGAGGCTCTGTGCGTGTGTGTGTGCATGCATGCACACCTGTGCAGCTGTGCGCACGTGTGTGCGTGTGTGCCCGTGTGTGTGCGTGTGCAGCACGAGCCCCAGAGGGAGTGTGTGCGGTGTGTGCGTGTGACACAGGTGTGGGTGGCCGTGTGTCCGTGCAGATGTGTGTGACACAGCCATGAGGGTGTGACAGTGTTC